TGCTATATCCCGTCATCATGGAGGCAGCGGGGGGGGGGTGGAGTCGCGAGTAAAGAACAAGCCGATTAATTTTTCTTTTTTTTTTTTTCTTGACAAACAACTGAAGATTTTGCATTTATTTTCCAACTTTAGCTTTAAAAACAGGGTGCGCATTATACAGCATGAAATACGATGCCAATAGACTGATAGATAAACGGATCGGGTTTAACCTTAGTTTTGAAATATGTCTAAACATCAATCTGTCTTTGACTGTCTTTATCTGTCTGTCTGTCAGTTTATCTATTTTGGTCAGTGCATGTCTCTCTATAAGAAAAAAGGTCTTCTCTCACAATCTCTCTCTTATTCTCTCTCATTCTCTCTCTTATTCTCTCTCATTCTCTCTCTTATTCTCTCTCTTATTCTCTCTCATTCTTTCTCACTCTTTCATTCTCTCTCACTCCCATTTTCTTTTTCCGTCACTCCCATTTTCTTTTCCTCTCTCTCTCTCTCTTTCTTTCAATCTCCCTTTCTTTCTCTCACTCTCTCTTTCTTTTTTCTTTTTCTCCCTTTCTCTCATTTTCTGTTCTCCTTCTCTTCTCATCTTTTGCCTTCATCTCTCGTGCTCTTTTCCCCTTCGTCTTCCGCCATCTTTTCTTTTCGTCTCCCTCCATCTTTTCCCCTTTCGTCTACCTCCATCTTTTCCCCTTCGTCTCTCTCTCTCTCTCTCTTCTCTCGATTTCTTTCCATCCTCTTCTCTATTTCTAATTTCTCATAAAGAGTGAAACATTAAAAGGTTGATGTAAACATTTCAGCTCGAAAATAAAACAAGGCAGGGCATTTTATATTTTTTAAGACTTGCATATTTCTTCGGCTTGTTAATCGGATCTGATCATTCGACACCGAAATAAAATAAAACAAAAACAAAAAAGAAACAAGCCGTTATAAATATGTCACCATAAATGGAGAAAACCTCCAGCCCACAGCGTAAAAGAGGCTTAGTTAACAAACACATACAGAAATTTTATTTTCCCTCAAAGCACGCCATATTGCTTTTGCAGCCAGACATTTTTTCCAATTTTTTTACTCTAACAGTCTCCTACTTTCTCTCCTACTTTTAACGCAGAAATTCTCGTGTCAGTGACCACAGCTATTGCGGTACCCCTACAAAAAAGAAAAAGATGAAATGAACGAATGATTCAGAAGAGCGAACTTTAAATGCTTGCCCGTAATTTTCATAAATAAATTCAATCAAATAAATTCTTCTTTGTCCCTTCAGGATGTAGGCGATCATGGCTCTCCACAGCTTTCTGTCCCTTGTAGCTCTTAATAAATTTTGTCTTTCTGTTATTTCTCCTAAAGCCTGCTCTGCCATTCATTTACACAAGCTAAGTACATCGTGCGCTGTCTCTCTTGCCTTCAATCCACCCTGTGAGTATCAGATTTTCCCAGCCCTCTTTCCTCATTATGTGCCCTAGTAACCTCATCTGTCTCTTCCTGATGTTAGGTATGCTTCCTTTTTTTTATTTCATTTTCTCCAAAACTTTGCCGTTGCTCACATGTTTGGTCCATGTTATACTCAGCATCCTTCTGTAGAACCACATTTCTGTTGCTTGAAGTCTTCATCTGTGAGGGCATTGGTATTGAGCACCTCTACCCATAACTTAACTTAAAACTGTATTATTTTACTATATATATATATATATATATATATATATATATATATATATATATATATGATAAAATGAAATAAAGAACAAAGTAGGAAACTAGTCTCAGTCTAACGTGTTTCAACTTTATTAAGGCTTCGTCAGAGATCGAGAATAGAAATGAAAAAGGAAAGAAACTCAGTACTAGAATGTTAGGATTTTTCGTAGTTCTCGTTGTGTATAGACGCAAATAGATAATATATAAATATGCGTGAAGACCATTTAGGATGTAAAAGTGTGTGATAGTGTAAGAGTGTGCAAATAAAGAAATGCTTGTATGTGTATGTAGGACAGTAACGTTTATTCATGTAAGTGTATATGTGAAAGAAGTCTGTCTGTCTGTCTCTCTCTCTCTCTCTCTATATATATATATATATATATATATATATAGTTATATATTTAGGCAGCAATCCTTCCTTTATGCATGTTTCATTAAAAACGACAGACAAGGTACTACAGTTAAGCTTTTTATTTAATTTTTCTTGTGTTCTGACAAGAGCTTTCTTTTCTGGACAAAGGGTGTGTAAGAACTGTCCAAATGTTCTGTGTTTCCGAGCGCTTTCGGCTATACCTTTAGCCATTATCAAGGATAATTCGATTTTTCAGCTTAATTGAGTGTGTGCGCTCTGTGTATGTCTTAGTGTGTGGTAGGGATGTTTTTAATTTCCGAATACGGTTAGCACATTGTGGTTTTGTTCGGAGTTAATATTGTTAAGAGTTGGTTTTTTCTTTTTTATTATTAAAGCTACCATTATTTTTAGTCTTTTTTTGCAGGTGGATGCAGTTAATATATTTGTGTTTTCTACTAGTATGTTCCTAATGGAGTCTGTTAAGTTTGTGTGTGTGTTTAAATGGGTTCTACTGGATCTTTGATCAGACAGGTGTAACGTAAGGCGTCTGGATAAGCGTGTAGTTGTGTAACCGATGTAATTAATTATGAGTCCGGTTTCATCAGGAACACAGTTCTTTAAGGGGTATATATAGGGGCATATATATATATATATATATATATATATATATACTTTATGGTATGTGCGGTGGTAATCGGTGTGCCGAGTTTGAATTTCAGTTGAGTTTTGCTTTCCCGCAAATACCTAGGTGGAAGGTATGAGTCCCTCGCTTTTTCACCACCACCGCCCACCTACTATGGGTTAAATCGTAAAATTAATCAGTGAAATTAATAACAAACACTGAAGAAAAATTGTACCTCCGGCAGGAATCGAACCTACATCCCTTTTATTTATCCATCAGAGAAACCTCTTTTTGAGCCATACATAGCATACCCGTCGACAGTGCGTGACGGACAGAGAGTCAGTTTTTCTTTTGTGATATAGGTTACAAATTTATTTTTTACGCCGCTGTAGTCACAAAATCACCCCATCTACCAACTGTGGATCGTACAACTAATTAAACTATATTATTTTGACATATAAATATTAAGTCAGAATAGTACAATTTTACCTATATATATATATATATATATACATATATATATATATATCAAGGCAGAATAGTGCAAGGGATGATGAGGTTACCCGTCCCTCCTCTCACAGGCGGATTTGTTTTTGAAGTTGACGAAAGAGTCAGAATTTTGAATTGAGAGTTTTCTTCCCCTTCTCTCTCGAGTCTGTCTTGCAATGAACTGTGTTCATATAAGAGGCATCAGCACATAAGTGAATGTACAGGACTCGACTGGAGTTCGAACTCTGCTCTCCGATTCCTCAATCCGACCTTGCCATTCCTCAACCGTGTCGCCATTTTTAATATTTGGGCTAATGAATATATAAATAAATAATAATAATAATAATAATAAATAATAATAATGAAAATTAATAATTAATAACAATAAATAAATAATAATAATAATTAATAATAAATTTAATAATAATAATAAATAATAATAAAATATAATAATTAATATTGATAATAATAATTAATAATAACAAAATATAATATTAATAAAATATAATTAACAATAGATAATAATAATAATTTATAATAAAAATATATTAATAATAAAATATTATTAATAATAGATAATAATAATAAAATATAAAAATTAATATTGATGATAATAATTAATAATAAAAAATATAATAATAATAATAAAATATAATTAATAAAATATAATTAACAATATACAATAATAATAATTTGTAATAAAAAAAATATAATAAGAGTAAAATATTATAAAATAATAAAATATAATAGATAATAATAATAATATTGATTAATAATAAAATATTATAAGTAATTAATATTGGTAATAATAGATAATAATAATAATTAATAATAATAAAATATAATAAGTAATTAATATTGATATTAATAGATAATAATAATAATTAATAATAATAAAATATTATAAGTAATTAATATTGATATTAATAATAACAAAATATAATAATAAAAAATACAATTAATAATAATAATTAAAAATAATTAATAATAGATTGTGAACTTTATACAGAACTTAGGCTTTGAAGAAAAAACTAAGTTTCGACAATAAAAGCATTTATAAATCCGAATGAATTCGTATACAAGGTCTTTTAAAGATCGAAACAAACCAACGTTGAGCAATAAAAAAAAACAAGTGAAAGACGTAGCAAGAAATATATATATATATTATATATATATATATATATATAAATCAAAATCTAGCTGGACAGGAATAATTTCTCTTTTGTTGCCAACCTTTAGCGCTTGTCTAGACCCACCACCGCCACTGATCCTATTACCTCCTGGCTACCCGATTCTGTTTATTTTTCCCGCCTCACTTCAAATCGTGTACGCTTCTTCGAATTTCGGCTTATCTTCTGAGAATTTGCTTCGCCAAAATCCTGAATGGTTGCCACATTCCAACGTTAGAATTCTGACGCGAAGTCCATTGAGATATGTACCCAGGCTTTGAAAGAAATGTTTCTCAACCTTTACGCCACGGTATTGAAGAATCTAAGGCGGCATTTATTTCACTTCTGGGGAGCAGGTCCGATAATGGATGATGTGGCCAATACCAGGCGGGCCTTTCCTGCGCCAGTGGCTGTCGAAGAAGATTTTACAAGTAGGATGATAGAAAAACACAGATCTCTCTTTCGCTTTATTTCATTGCTTTTCCTCACTCTTTCTCCTTTACTCTTTCCCTCTCACTGTCTCTCCTACTTTTTAACTCTATCTCACTCTTTTACTTTCTCTAATTTTCCCACTAGCTCATTCTCTCTCTTTTAGAGTGTGTGAGAGAATAGGAGAAAGCGAGGACGAGAGAAAGTTAGAGAGAGTGAGAGAATACGCTAATAAAAGTCATGGGCTACGAGAGACATGCGTTCTTTTAAAAAAAGAGTAATTGACCCTTGTTCCACTGAGAAGTCCTTCGTGGGTGAGCGGGCTAAAGTACACCAAGCCCGACGTTAGCTCTCTCTCTCTCTCTCTCTCTCTCTCTCTCTCTCTCTCTCTCTCTCTCTCTCTCTCTAGCTAGCTAGCACGGTGGAGTAATGGATAGCGGCTTGGATTGAGGAATCGCAGAGCCGAGTTCGAATTCCAGTCGAATCCATTACATTCACTTACGTGCTAATACCCTTGGGAAAGGTATGAATCCTTTCCCTCCAGCTATGGGTAAAATAGCAGGACAGACTATATAACCTTGGATGGCAACTGGTCTAGGAGAAGGACAACTGCGGAGGGTCGTTTTGGGACCTTGTGACATGTAGTGCATCAAGTCTCTGTATTCGGCCCATCAAAAAGTGTGGATGGTCCTGCACGAAACCTTCACAACTATAATCAAATCTCATGTGCCGGTGTCGGTTTCCTGGAAACTGATCTGCTTGACCCTCATACGTCGAATCTCGACGGGAGAGTCGACTATATATATATGAGGTAATTTTGGATTTTATTGTGTACTATATATATATATATATATATATATAGTACACAAAATTACCAAAATTACCTCATATTTAACTGTTAAATTTCTAATTCCGACACGAACTCAGTCTATACCGGGGTTGAATAAGAGTGACGAATTTCGTCGGTTGGAATAAGCTTATTCCTTATATAGGGTAATTTTTTATTTTATTATGTACTAATTATTTGCTCCGTAATAAGAAATACATTGAGCTCTTTTTGTGGATCATTTTTAATATTTAGTATTACTAGGATCCACTTGGATCACATACCAACAGATTTGTTACATTTACGATATATATATGTATTATACATACACACACACACACACACATATATATATATATATATATATATATATATGCAAAGTGATGGGGCAAAGTGGAAAAGCTTATAAGAGACGCGTTTCGACAAGGTGTGTTTATTCCGGCTTCTTCAGGTCGGAATGAAAGACAAAACTGTGTGTCAGGAAAATGCGTTGGGATTTTTGAGGATCAGATGGGCAATAAATTAAATTACCTTATCAGATCCGACGACCATAATGCAGAAAGTGTATATTTCTTATATTGCGTATTTAGGCAGCAATCCCTCTTTTTTTTTACATACAAATTTCGTTAAAAACGATTGTCAAGGTACTCCGATTTTATTATTATTATTATTATTTAATTTTTATCATTTTTCTTTTTTTTTTCTGGACATAAAGAATGTAGAAACTATCCGAATGCTCTGTATATCCGAACTCTTTCGGCCATACTTTTAGCCATTATCAAAAGATGATTTTATTTTTTACTTTTAACTGAATGTATGGATTTTTGTTTCATGTTTGCATCTAGCTAGAGTTATTAGACAGTTTGTACATACTTTATGTCCAGAAATGAAAAAAAAGTGATAAGAACACAAGAAAAATTAAATAAAATAAAATAAAAAAAACTTAACCGTAGTACCTTGTCAGTCGTTTTTACCGAAACTTATACGAGTGAGAGAGATAGGTTATTGTGTGCTTACACGTTGATATAATAAAATTATTTATAAGACTGAATAACACTTGTAAAGTTCTTTCTCTTTGATGGATTTGATATGATATTATTTATTTAGGGGTGGATAGTCTCAGAATATCAAAGTACAGCCGATAGTCTCTTTTGAAAAGAGCATCATAGGGTGTGTTTCAGACGGAATGGACACTTAAAAAAATGTATCTTGACTCTCTCTAATTTTCTTTCATTTTTGTTTTTCTCTTCGTTTTTATTTAATTTTCTCTCTGTACAATTTTTCTTTCTTTATCTTTTTCTCTGAAAAAGAATTCATTTTTCTTTTCTCTTCTTTTCACTTTTTTTTCTCTCTCTCTATACATCGTTTTCTGTCTACATTTATTTCTCACGGTCTCAAACTTTTTTTGCTCTCTGTTCATCTTTTTTTGTAAACTAATTTTCTTTCTTTCTTTCTCTTTCTCGCCATCTTTTTTTAAACTAATTTGTTTTCTCACTCTTCATCTTTTTTCTCTTTCTTCCTCCTTTTTTTTTAAAGTAATTAATTTTTTTCTCCTTCTACATCTTTTTTTTCTCTCTATATATCTTTTTCTCTCACTTTCTCTCTACATCTTTTTCCCTCTCTTCATCTTCTTTTTTAAACTAATTTGTTTTCTCCCTTTTTTCTTTTTTTTCTTTCTTTTTTTTTTTTGTTTTCTCCCTTTTTCTCTCACTTTCTCTCTACATCTTTTTCCCTCTCTCTCTCTCTTTCTCTCTTCTTCCTTTTTTTAAACTAATTCATTTTTTCTTTCTATTCTTTTTCCCTTTTTCTCTCCATTTTTTCTCTCTCCATCATTTTTCACCATTCTTTTTTCTCACTCTGCATTTTTCTTTCTCCTTTATTTAAACTACTTCAGATTTTCCTTTCTATTCTTTTCACTCTTTTTCTCACCTTTCTCTCTCTCTCTCTATTTATTTTTCTCTCTCTACATCTTTTCTTCTCTCTCTCTCTCTCTCACTCTCTCTCTCTCTCCGTCCTTTTTTTTAGACAAATTTATTTTGTTCCTTTTTCTCCTTTCCTCCCTTCCACTTTTTCATTCACCCTCTCGTAACTCTCTCCTCCTCCTCTTCCTCCTGCTTTCCTTGTTCTTTTTATCTATCTATCTATCTATCTATCTATCTATCTATCTATCCGTTACTATTTTTTTTAGACATTTAATTAGCACATCTCTCTTTGTTCCCCCTCTTCTTACTCCTCTGCTGTTTTACTCCCCGCCCCCCCCGCCATGTCCAAACGCCCACCTTCATCGTAGGAACCACTCACGACTTGTACTGATAATATCTACTCCATCCCACCCGCCACTTTCATTACACATAGCAATTCTCTTCAACACTGCTTTTTGTTAATAGGACCGGAATTTTTAAGGACCGGTGTGGGTTTGAGTAGGTAAACAAGGTGGGGTAATTTGAGGTGGGGTAGCTCGTTTCCTTTGACAAACAATACAACATTGATGGACAACAGTTTCATTTTTCTTGTATATATATATATATATATATATATATATATATATAGTCATCCACAGGCAGACAGTTTCGCTGTATCACAGTTCATGAGTGTGGCTAGACGTCCGGTTGCCTCTAGCTAGGATCGAAACCCGACTGAATTGGCGTCGGTCGGGATTCTACCACTAAGCCGTTGGCGCACGGCAGGGATGAACGTGAATTTAAGCGTATTTATTTTTAGATAAACACAGAGTAACTGAGAGAACTCGATTCGATTTACCGAAGAGTCTTGCATTATTAGCCGTAATAGTCACTGTTTACAAACCCACACTTCCTCCCCAGAGAGCTCAACCGAAATAAAATTTTTCAGGAGCATATATACTGTCTTCCACAGACAGACTGTTTCGCTGTATCACAGCTCACCAGTGTGGCTAGACGTCCGATATATATATATATTGAATTAACGCTCCATGATATTAATCCTTATCAATTGTAGATAATGATTCGCCTTGTTTTTGTCTGGCGATAGATGAAGACATTGATGCACTCGATGACGGTTGCGCCAATGTCCCGTCGAACGGTATACGAAATGAGAAAGCTTGCCTGTGACAGGCGTATATGCTGAGCAGAAGATTGGCACGGCGACTGGTTGTATTCTCAGCGAGTCTCCTTGCCTGGGACGTCTATTGAGACCCAAGTTCACCCCAGATCTCAACTCTATATATGATACATCGCTAAAGATGCCAGGATAATGGCCTTTGTGTCGTTCCAGTAAGAACATGCCTCTTCCTGTCATGTTCCGTCTTTTACAGAAGTCAGGTCAGACCAAAAATAGAATGTGGCTACCATATCTTTTTTTTTTTTTTATCCTTTCACCCCAATGAAGGCAATAAAGCAAGAAGTTACTCAGTGTTACAGAACATGAGAAAAATGCTATTAATAAAAAAGAGAGAGAACAATAAAAAGAAACTACTTATATTTTTTAGGAGAGAAGACAATAAAAGAACAAGAATCAAGAAGATAGAAGATAACGATTAACATTACATTTGAATTTTTGAAGATCAAAGTTGACTGGGAAGCAAGAAGATTGAAGAGAGTTCCACAGTTGAAAAGTGCGATACAAAAACCTGCCAGCATAGAACTTACGGTTAGATCTAGCCACTTCAGACTGTAAAATGATGAGAAAATAGTAATAAGAAGACAGAAAATAACCTAAAATAATAATAATTAATTGCATTTAATTTTTGAAGATCAAAGTTGACTGGAAAGCAAGAAGCTGGAAGAGAGTTCCACAAGTGAAAATTGAGTGAGAACAATAGAAGAGTAATCAGGAAGACAGGAGATAACGATTAACATTACATTTAAATTTTTGAAGATCAAAGTTGACAGGAAAGCAAGAAGCCGGAAGAGAGTTCCACAAGGGAAAATTGAGCGAGAACAATAGAAGAGTAATCAGGAAGACAGGAGATAACGATTAACATTACATTTAAATTTTTGAAGATCAAAGTTGACTGGAAAGCAAGAAGCCGGAAGAGAGTTCCACAAGGGAAAATTGAGCGAGAACAATAGAAGAGTAATCAGGAAGACAGAAGATAACGATTGACATTACATTTAAATTTTTAAAGATCAAAGTTGACAGGAAAGCAAGAAGCCGGAAGAGAGTTCCACAAGGGAAAATTGAGCGAGAACAATAGAAGAGTAATCAGGAAGACAGAAGATAAAGATTGACATTACATTTAAATTTTTGAAGATCAAAGTTGACTGGAAAGCAAGAAGCCGGAAGAGAGTTCCACAAGCGAAAATTGAGCGAGAACAATAGAAGAGTAATCAGGAAGACAGAGAGATAACGATTGACATTACATTTAAATTTTTGAAGATCAAAGTTGACTGGAAAGCAAGAAGCCGGAAGAGAGTTCCACAAGCGAAAATTGAGCGAGAACAATAGAAGAGTAATCAGGAAGACAGAAGATAACGATTGACATTACATTTAAATTTTTAAAGATCAAAGTTGACAGGAAAGCAAGAAGCCGGAAGAGAGTTCCACAAGGGAAAATTGAGCGAGAACAATAGAAGAGTAATCAGGAAGACAGGAGATAACGATTAACATTACATTTAAATTTTTGAAGATCAAAGTTGACTGGAAAGCAAGAAGCCGGAAGAGAGTTCCACAAGCGAAAATTGAGTGAGAACAATAGAAGAGTAATCAGGAAGACAGAAGATAACGATTAACATTACATTTAAATTTTTTGAAGATCAAAAGTTGACTGGAAAGAAAGAATCTGGAAGAGAGTACCATTACAAGAAGAAAATTGACTGAGAACTGGAAGAGAGTACCACAAGTGAAAAATGAGAACAAGAAGAGTAATCAGGAAGACAGAAGATAACGATTGACATTACATTTAAATTTTTGAAGATCAAAGTTGACTGGAAAGCAAGAAGCTGGAAGAGAGTTCCACAAATGAAAATTGAGTGAGAACAATAGAAGAGTAATCAGGAAGACAGAAGATAACGATTAACATTACATTTAAATTTTTGAAGATCAAAGTTGACTGGAAAGCAAGAAGCTGGAAGAGAGTTCCACAAATGAAAATTGAGTGAGAACAATAGAAGAGTAATCAGGAAGACAGAAGATAACGATTAACATTACATTTAAATTTTTAAAGATCAAAGTTGACTGGAAAGCAAGAAGCTGGAAGAGAGTACCACAAGTGAAAATTGAGTGAGAACAATAGAAGAGTAATCAGGAAGACAGAAGATAACGATTAACATTACATTTAAATTTTTAAAGATCAAAGTTGACTGGAAAGCAAGCAGCCGGAAGAGAGTTCCACAGGGGAAACTTGCGATACAAAAACCTATCAGCATAGAACTTACGGTTAGACCTAGCCATTTCAAACTGTAAAATGATTAGAAAATAGTATTAAGAAGATAGAACATAACCTAATAATAATTAATTGCATTTAATTTTTGGAAGATCAAAGCTGACTGGGAAGCAAGAAGCTGGAAGAGAGTTCCCCAGGCAAGACCATCATCAGGACATTTTCATTAAACATAATTAACATTATAACATATAAAATTCTAAAATAGACCGAAACGTCCGACGTTGACTTTATATTAACATTAATACAGCATAATTGCATATTAAGATTTTTGTTTGTTTTATCTGTATTTTTTTCTTCATACTGTCGGATCTATATCCATATATTTGCTTATATATATATATATATATATATATATATATATATATATATACTCTCATGTTAATTATTCGAATGAGGTCTTCTTTATGGTACTTAGACCGTATGAATTTAAGCACAATACTAGACCGGTATCGGGATTTCATCAATTTACAGTTACGCTGGCTAAATGTAAGAGTAGTCTGACAGTTTCTCTTCTCGCACTTTTCTCACGTGGAATTCCCCTTCCAGCTTCGTGCTTTCCAGTCAACTTTAATCTGCAAAAATTTAAATGCAATGTCAATCGCTATCTACTGTCCTCCTGGTTACTCTTTTCCCTTTCTCCTCATTAACGTTTCTGTTCCTAATTCCTCCACATTCTCTAACCTCTTGCGTGCTAGTGGCTGTACTGCCCCTGCTTGAAATAATAATAATAAAATTAATTAATAAAACTATTATCAGTCAGAAGCCCTTTCAATCGCTGCCATATATGATCCGTTGCCCCTACTGTTTACCTTGAGCTCCTTGATAACATCCAAAAAAGAATCAGCAATATTATTGGTCCCGATCTGGCAGCTCGGCTTCAGTCACTTTCCCACCGCTGTAAGGTTGCCTCTCTCTGCCATTTTTTTTTAAATAAATACTTTCAGGGTATTTGTTCAGATGATCTCTTCGCTATGGTACCTAGACATTTTGAATTTAAGCAGAATACTAGACTGGCGTCGAGATCTCATCAGTTTACAGTTGAGCTGGCTAGATGGAGCTGTAACTTCTTTGCTGACATTTCTTTTCTCGCACCTCTCGCTTGTGGAACTCCCTCCCAGCGCCATGCTTTCCAAGCAGCTTTAATCTGCTAGAACGTAAATGCAATGTCGATCGCTATCTACTCTCCTCCTGACTGATCTTTTCTATTTCTCTTTCTTACCAATGCTTCTTCTACACATCCTGTTACCCTTTTCGTGTTAGTGGGTGTACTGCTTTGCTTGGGGGTGGTACAGATTTCTAAAACAAAATAAAAATGGGGTGGGGTGATGTGTCGTGAAATCCACCAACCCAACTAAAACCTAGTTCGACCTAAACACATTGGAGACTAATGTATTTATGCATAGGATGAATAAAAGCGTCAGGCAAAAAAAAAAAAAAAAAAATGAATGTGAATACTGAGGAAGGTGCTGGAGTCTTAAATTTTTTACTCAGTTTCCCATAGTCCTCCACCGCTGTACGCACATGCAGATGCACGATGATAAAACAAATTTCCTTCGCATATGGACTTGCATTACGACTTCCATGCGTGCGCGCGCACACACACACGCAGAGAGGAAATATTTTGATTCGCAAGATCCTGTGGGAAATCTGACTCGGCGCCATTTTGTTCTTTTTAGGTCACGTGTTATACTTCTTTTTATTTTCTTCATTTTGTTGCAGTTCGCACCAGTGTAGCTTTGTTTATGGAATATTGCTTCTGTTTGATTTCAAATGAAAGAGAGTGATAGAGAAGATGGCGGAGAGAGAGAGAGAGGGAAAGGGTATGGAAAAGAGAGAGAAGGGGCTGGAAAAAGAAAAAAAGGCAAGAAGACAAAATGGCTGAGAGAAAGTAAAGAGTGAATTAGAGAGAAAAACATGCAAAGTGAAAAAAAAAACCCACCCAAAAGAATGGTGTAGAATATGAGAGAGGGGGATAGATGTATGAGAAGTGGGGAGAAGAGGGAATTGATATAAAAGAGAGAGTGAATACAGAGGTGAGAAGGCACGAGAGGGGTAATAGAGAGAGAAATGAAAGAGAGGGGAGGGAGAAAAAAGGAAAGAGAGGTTAAGAGAAAGGAGAGAGAAAAGAATATTGATAAGGAAGGGAGAAAGGAAAGAGGATAGAGAGAACGGAGGGAGAAAAAAGGAAAGATGAGAGGTTAAGAGAAAGGAGAGAGAAAAAAGAATAGAGAGAAAGGAGGGAGAAAGGAAAGAGGATAGAGAGAATGGGGGCGAATAGAGAGATGAGAGACCGAAAAGAGAGGCGGAAGGAAAGAGAATAGAGAGGATGGAAGGAGAGGAGAGAGGATAGACAGAAGAGAGGGAGAAAGTAAATAGAAGGGAAGGAGAAAGATAATAGAGAGAAGAGAGAGACAAAGTAAATAGAATAGAGAGAAGGGAATGAGAAAGATATTAGAGAGAAGAGAGAGACAAAGTAAATATAATAGAGGGAAGGAGAAAGAGAAAGAGAATAGAGAGACAAGAGGTACAAAGCAAATAGAATAGTGAGAATGGAGGGAGAAAGAGAATACAGAAAAGGGAGGGAGAAAGAGAATACAGAAAAGAGAGACAGAGAAGAGAGGGAGAAAGGAAAGAGAATAAAGAGAGACAGAAAGTAAAGAAAATAGAGAGAAGTGAGAAAAGGAGACTAGAGAGGGAGAAAGAGGGGCAGAAAAGGTTAGTAATGGGACAAGAGGGGAAATAAGGAGAATATATAGAGTATAGAAAGAAGTGAGTGGTGGGGGGATTGGAGAGAGAATGTCGAGTATGAGAAAGAAAATTAGAGAAGAGAGTATGTGAGAGAAAAAGTCGGAGATTGCGTAAAAGACATAGAGAGAGAGAGAGGGTTAAGTTGGCATAAAGAAGAGAGTAAAGGAAGGAAGGAAGGAAGGAAAGGAAAGTAACGAAGAGAAACAATATAAGATATGTATAAAACAACAATAACAAAGTGTGGGGGATGAAAGCCGAATAGAAAGAACGAGTGAGAAGAGGAAAAAAGAAAAGGAGACGAAAGAAAAGTTGCTGGAGATCGTCGCTGCCCTTGTGTGTGTGATGTTTAATGTATCTTAATTTAATCAGCGCTGCTCTTTGAAGGCAGCTAACGAGCGCGTCCATTTAAGGCGATTCGCGCTCACCAGCCTCCTGTGAGCGAGTAGATTCGTAGCCGATGCTAGAGTTTCCAATCTCACTACGGGTCGCTCCATCTCATGCAATTTTCGCGAAGGCATGGTCCGAAAATCTTTCCGGTAATTTTCTCCAGTATTCCCCTTTCCTTCAATCTTTTCGCTTCTGACATCCATCACGACTCGCATCTTTCCTTCGTCTCGTCTCATCTCGCTTCTATTCTCACTCTCGTTCTGCTTGCTTCCAATCTAGTCCCGTCTCTCTTCTTGCATCCATTCTCGTCCCGTCTCTCTTCTTGCCTCCATTCTCGTCCCGTCTCTCTTCTTGCCTCCATTATAGTCTCGTCTCTCTTCTTGCCTCCATTCTCGTCCCGTCTCTCTTCTTGCATCCATTCTCGTCCCGTCTCTCTTCTTGCCTCCATTCTCGTACCGTCTCTCTTCTTGCCTCCATTCTCGTTCCGTCTCTCTTCTTGCCTCCATTCTCGTCCCGTCTCTCTTCTTACATCCATTCTCGTTCCGTCTCTCTTCTTGCCTCCATTCTCGTCCCGTCTCTCTTCTTGCATCCATTCTCGTCCCGTCTCTCTTCTTGCCTCCATTCTCGTCCCGTCTCTCTTCTTGCCTCCAATCTCGTCCCGTCTCTCTTCTTGCCTCCATTCTCGTCCCGTCTCTCTTCTTGTCTTCAATCTCGTCCCGTCTCTCTTCTTGCCTCCATTCTCGTCCCGTCTCTCTTCTTACATCCATTCTCGTTCCGCCTCTCTTCTTGCATCCATTCTCGTCCCGTCTCTCTTCTTGTCTTCAATCTCGTCCCGTCTCTCTTCTTGCCTCCATTCTCGTCCCGTCTCTCTTCTTGTCTTCAATCTCGTCCCGTCTCTCTTCTTGCCTCCATTCTCGTCCCGTCTCTCTTCTTGTCTTCAATCTCGTCCCGTCTCTCTTCTTCTGTCTATTCACGACCCGTTTCTACTCTTTTGTTCATTCACATCCGTCTCTCTTCTTTGCTCTCCATTCTCGTCTCGTCTCTCTTCTTCTCCCTCCCTTTCTCTTCCTTTTCTTCTTTCATTTTTCTCCCTTCTCTATAACTATATTCTTTCTTCCCCAGTCTCTCTCTCTCACACTCTCTCTCTCTTAATCTCACTCTTCTTCTCGACATGTTTGCAGAAGTACACCAAATGGTCGCTCACGCAAATCATAAATTATTCATTCTTTTTCCCTTCATTTTCCTATTCTTCTCATCATAAACGAATCGCTGGCAGGTTTCCCCGACTTGTCTCCTGTTCTTAGCCCCATCTAAACTCTACTACCTCGCCCTACCAAACGCCCCCGAGGCGGGCCGGGCGCAGATGAAGAGTCTCTTGTCAACTTCCTAAGCATTAAACATCTCAAACGTTCTTGCATCCATCGTTTTCAGTCCAGTATCGATCACTCAAAGAAATGCCGGACGCTCAATGATATATGATCTTTGCCAGGACGGTAAAGCGACATGGAAAACTTCGAAAAAGAGGGGAGGTGAAGAGAGTAAGAGCCAGAAGAACACCGTCAGAGACAGCGCGTCGTAGAATTGGTTAGGAAAAAGCCAGTGCGCATGCGCCGTCTACTCGATTTGTGCGCGAGTTTGAGAAACGCTGTTGATTTTTTTTTTGGCATAAATAGTTTTTATTTACTAAGTTGAGCGTAGGTTTGGCACAAGGTCACAACGACGGGGCACCCAGTGAGGATCCAACTCATTACTAATAGGACAAGCTTGCTAACCGCGACACTGTGAAGAGATTTTTGCGTGAACAGGCGTCGTCGACAAACTGAGGTCTGTCGGAAGGCGGATTCTTATTATTTTTATTCACTTGGGCTTCTTTTTGGAATTGAGATCAGTGTTTGCAGCTACAACATTTGTTTCTAGATCTGTCTATACGTCCATTCGTTTCTAGCTTGTTCTGTTTCTTCTTTCATTTCTAGCTCTTTTTTTTTTTTTTTTTTTGTCTGTCCGTTCGTTCATCTTTCAGGGACTATCTTGTTCGTGTCACTGTCGGTTTGTTTGTATCAAACTTGTTCTTGTCTGTCCGTTTTTTAATTCATCTATTTCTAGATTATTGTTTTTTTTTTTCCTAACTTTTTTTTCGTCTGTTTGTCGTTACTAACTTGTATCCGTCTGATTTTGCATATCAAGCTTATTATTGTCCGTCCGTTCGTTCGTGTTTAACTTGTTATTTTCCGTTCGTTCGTTCGTGTATCCCTTGTTCTTGTCCATCCGTTCGCGTCTCGCTTGTTCTTGTCCGTTCGTTCATTCGTGTCTCACGTGTTATTGTCTATGCGTTCGTATTTAGCTTATTATTTTCCGCCCGTTCGTTCGTGTCTCCCTTGTTCATGTCCGCCCGTCCGTCCGTTCGTTCGTGCCTCCCTTTTTCTTGTTCGTTCGTTCGTTCACGTCTCCCTTTTTCTTGTCCGTCCGTTTGGTCGTGTCTCCCTTTTTCTTGTCCGTTCGTTCATTCGTTCGTTTGTTCATGTCTTCCTTGTTTTTGTCCGCTCGTTCGTTCGTGTCTCCCTTGTTTTTGTCCGTTCGTTCGTTCGTGTCTCCCTTGTTCTTGTCCACCCGTTCGTTTGTGTCTCCCTTGTTCTTCTCCGTCCGTTCGTTTGTGTCTCCCTTGTTCTTCTCCATCCGTTCGTTCGTGTCTCCCTTGTTCTTCTCCGTCCGTTCGTTTGTGTCTCCCTTGTTCTTGTCCGCCCGTTCGTTTGTGTCTCCCTTGTTATTTTCCGGCCGTTCGTTTGTGTCTCCCTTGTTCTTGTCCACCCGTTCTTTTGTGTCTCCCATTGTTCTTGTCCGCCCGTTCGTTCGTGTCTCCCTTGTTCTTGTCCGTCCGTCCGTTCGTTTGTGTCTCCCTTGTTCTTGTCCGTCCGTTCGTTCGTGTCTCCCTTGTTCTTGTCCGTTCTTTCGTGTCTCACTTGTTCTTGCCCCTCCGCTCATTCATGTCCTGCGCGTTATTGTCCGTTCGTCCCCGTTTAGCTTGCTCTTGTCCGCCCGTTCGTTCCTGTCTAGCTAGTATTTCTATCTCCGATGGTCCACTTGTTCGTGCCTATCTTACTGTTCTCCGTACGTTCATTCGTTTCTAGCTCCGTCCGTCCAATCGTTCGTTTCTAGCGTCTTCTTGTCGGTTTGTCTTGGTATCCATCCGTTTCTTGTCTGCTTTTATCTGTTCATCTGATGCCTTTTTTTTTTCAACCTACTGGAAATCCAGTCAATCTCTCTCACTCTTAGTCATCCATTCGTTCATTCGCGTTTTTTTTTTTTTTTTCCTTTTTTTTTTAATATAAGAGTGACTATGCGATAGATCATACCGGATCTAAAGAACTTAACACGTATTATAGCTTCGCCTTCCGATAGAATGAAAAACGAAACGGCAGCGAATTGTTTTCACTTATGCACACACTGGCGTTCGTTTCAAAATACGAACGATTCGATTTACAAATACGCCTTATAGATGTCGGTAAGCAAGGCCGGGAACGTGGGCGACGTGCGTGCCGGGTGATGAGGAAGGCGGGTTAGATAGAGAGCCAAGGCAGCAAGTGTTCTGAAAGCTGTGTACGGACGTACTTGACAGGCCGGATATAAGCGGATAAAAATTAACTTGGCTTTCTGCTTCAAGTTATATCAGCACATCATTTCGGCGTTTATTACCTTTTATTTTTTTTCTTCTTCTTCTTCTTCTTCACCACCACCACCCCCACCACCACGCCGATCTATATTTCTTTTTCGTCCAGTAATGTTTCATAACTGTTTCTTAACTATGTCTACCTGTTTTTCACTGTCGCTTTCTTTCTTGTTTTTGTCTATCAGTTTCCTGTTTTCTCTCAATCTCTCTCTCCCTATCTTGTGTCTGTCAATTTCTTCTCCTTCTCTCTTTCTCTTTGGGCTTTTGTCACTTTCTTATCTCTCTATCTCCTTGTCTGTCACTTTCTTCTCTCTCTTTGTGACTTTCTCTCTTTGCCTGTCACTTGTCTCTCCCTCTTTTTCACTTGCTGCCTGACACTTGTCTCTCTTCCTCTTGTTTGTCACTTGTCTCTCTCCCTTCCTCTTGTTTGTCACTTATCTCTCTCTTTCTTTTGTTTGTCACTTGTCTCTCTCTTCTTGTCTGTCTGTCACTTTTCCCTCTCTTGTTTGATGTCACTTACTTCTCTCTCTCTCTCTCTCTTGTTTGAAGTCACTTACTTCTCTCTCTCTCTTGTTTGATGTCACTTACCTCTCTCTCTCTCTCTCTCTCTTGTTTGATGTCACTTCTCTCTCTCTCTCTTGTTTGATGTCACTTCTCTCTCTCTCTCTCTCTTGTTTTTCATTTACTTTTCTCTCTCTCTCTCTCTCTCTTGTTTGTCATTTACTTCTCTCTTTTTGATGTCACTTCTCTCGCTTTCTCGTCTGTCACTTCTCTCGCTTTCTCGTCTGTCACTTAATTCTTTCTCTCTCTTTCTCTCTTGTTTGATGTCATTTACTTCTCTCGCCCTCCTTCTTGTCTGTCTTTCACTTCTCTCTTGTCTGATGTCACTTCTCTCTCTCTCTCTCTCTTGTCTGTCTGTCACTTTTCTCTCTCTCTCTCTCTCTATCTTTGTAATCTGTGTGTGTGTGTGTCTCTCTCCTTATCTGTCACTTTCTTGTCTCTGTCCGATTCTTCTCTCTTTCTTGTCCATCGCATATCAGTTTACGGCAGTCACTGGCCGTTTTTCTCCCTCATGTCTTCAAACCCGGGGTCCTGGAAAATGGAGAAAAATATTTCAGGGAATCTGTATTTAACTGTAACATGCACAATTAATTGCAGCAGACAAAGCATTATTATTATTATTATTATTATTATTATTATTTTATTATTATTTTATTATTATTTTATTATTATTATTATTATTATTATTTTATTATTATTTTATTATTATTATTATTATTATTATTATTATTATTATTATTATTATTATTATTATTATTATTATTATTTTATTATTATTATTATTATTTTTTATTATTATTATTATTTTATTATTATTATTATTATTATTATTTTATTATTATTATTATTATTATTATTTTATTATTATTTTATTATTATTATTATTATTATTATCAAAGGCATTTTTGGTAACATTTTTTTTAAAATACCAATTTCTTGTACTTCTTGCAGGTTCCTCAACTATACGCCTGATATTAATTTTCCCAAAATCCGGAAGGCAATCTATGACGCTTTTCAGGCATGGAGTCGCGTGACGCGGTTAACCTTTACCGAAATCATGTTCGACTCAAACAATGGTAAAGACGCTGACATCCGTATCCAGTTCGCCCAGAGATACCATAACGATGGTTACCCTTTCGATGGTGAAGGTGAGTAGTTCCAAAATTTAAATGCAATGTCAATCGATATCTTCCGTTTTCTTGGTTACTCCTCTTCTCGTGCTCTCGTTCCTCAATAATGCTTCTGTTTTCTAATTCTTTCACGCTCACTAAGCCCTTGTGTCTCAGTGGCTTTACTATCTTGCATGGGGTGAATTCGAATAATATATATATATATATATTCGACTCTCCCGTCAAATTCGACGTATGCGGGTCAAGCAGATCAGTTCCCAGGAAACCAACAGCCCGACAACAGCACAAGAGATTTGATTATAGTGGTAAAGGTTTCGTGCAGGACCATCCACACTTTTTTGAAGGGCCGAATACAGAGACCTGGTGCACTACGTGCCACAAGGTCCCCAAACGACTGTCCGCAGGTTTTCAAATATATATATATATATAATGAAATGGACAAAGTCCGACAATTATTTTTTAAAACATTTTTATTTATGTCAATACGTTCTTTTTATAGATACAAATATCTAAGTAAATGCTCTGTTTATAATAAACAGTATTAATAACATTTACCGGCCCGAATGTCCGAGAAATTTTCATAGAAAATATCCGTCCTCCAGCAGGAATCGAACCTGTATCCTATACGGAACCGTCATATAGCCTGACGTGCCTTTAACCGATTGGGCCACAGAGGAGCGTTCGGTTTGCAAGGTCGATTTTACTGTTTTTAAACTACAATTTTCCATCATTCTCTCACGTACGTTCATATCTGCTCGATGCGTATGCAAATGTAAACAAATGACGTCACACATTATGAAATGGACAAAGTCCGACAATTATTTTAAAGACATTTTTATGTTTATACATTTATTTTATAGCTACAATTATTTAAGTAAATGCTTTGTTTATAATAAACAGTATTAACAACATTTACCGGCCAGAAGGTCCGAGAAATTTTCATAGAAGAAAGGCTGCCTTGTATAAATGGTTGGCTGAGCAGGGTTTAGGAGAGATAGCAAGAGCACAAAAATTATTAAGAGCTCCAAAGTACCGGAAATTGTGGAGAGCCATGATCGCCAACGTCCAGAATGGACACGGAACATGGAAGAAGAAAGACTAGCTTATATAAATGGTTGGCAAAACAAGGTTTAGAGGAGATAGCAAAAACACAAAATTTATCAAGTGCTAGAAAGGACCGGAAATTGTGGAGAGCCATGATCGCCAACGTCCTGAATGGACACGGCACATAGAAGAAAGGCTACCTTGTATAAATGGTTGGCAGAGGAGGGTTTAGGAGAGATAGCAAAAGCACAACATTTATTAATAGCTACAATGTACCGGAAATTGTGGAGAGCCATGATCGCCAACGTCCTGAATGGACTCGGAACATGGAAGAAGAAAGACTAGCTTATATAAATGGTTGGTAAAACAAGGTTTAGAGGAGATAACAAAAACACAAAATTTATTAAGAATTAGAAAGGACCGGAAATTGTGGAGAGCCATGATCGCCAACGTCCTGAATGGACACGGCACATAGAAGAAAGGCTACCTTGTATAAATGGTTGGCTGAGCAGGGTTTAGGAGAGATAGCAAAAGCACAAAATTTATTAATAACTACAATGTACCGGAAATTGTGGAGAGCCATGATCGCCAACGTTCTGAATGGACACGGCACATAAAAGAAAGGCTACCTTGTATAAATGGTTGGCTGAGCAGAGTTTAGGAGAGACAGCAAAAGTACAATATTTATTAATAACTACAATGTACCGGAAATTGTGGAGAGCCATGATTGCCAACGTCCTGAATGGACACGGCACATAGAAAAATAATAATGAAGATTCATTTTGAGATTAAAGTCCTGCTATTAGTTTTGAGAGGGAGGAATGATTTTTGAAAAAAAAAAAAAATTATCCTCTTGTATGATTCAAACTGTCATGAAAAAAAAACCATCACTTCCATTCGCTCGTCTAATTTGGCGTATTAACTGGAGGAAGCTTATCTATAAACAGTAATCGGTAACGATATCAGGAAATCATCAATCATCCTTCAAATTAAGTCGCATATACTCTTAAATCTCTTGGAAAAAAAAGCAGCAGTCAAATTCAGTAATATCAAGCTGCTTTCAGTAGTTACGATCCTTCGAGAGCGATTGATTGATTTGTTTCTCATTGTTTAATCAAACTTTTGCGGGCTACTTGAAGCCAGAAAATATTATTTAGATTGTAAGAAATTGTTGGAGATAATTCCGATTTACGGTTAAAAATCTTACTAATTAAGCTGGTATTCCCAAGTGGTCACCAATCTAGGTACTGACCAGGGTCGGTGATGCTTAACTTCGGCGATCGTACGGGAATTGGTGTTTCAACGTACTCTGGCCGTAAGCTCGTCATCGCAAAACGTGTATGTGTCGTCGAATCAACGTAAGCATAAACTTAGTCTGGTGAAGTTTTAGAACTTCTGATTTACGGTAACAAATCTTACTAATTAACCCATAGCTGGGGGGCGAAGAAGAGGTGGAGTCATACCTTTCCCAAACGAATGTAACAAACCCGACTGGAATTGGAACTCGGCACTCCATTTCAAATTCCGAGCCGATATCCATTACACTACCTGCGCATCCAAACGTACAGCACCTGGTATTCCCAACCGGTCACCAATTTAGGTGTTGCTTAACTTTGGTGATCGTACGGGAACTGGTGTTTCTGGCCGTAAGCTCTTCTTCGCAAAACGTGCTTGTGTAGTCGAATCAACGTAAGCATAAACTTAGTCCGGTGAAGTTTTAGAACGAAACGCGTCACACGAAAACGTTTTGCACTTTGTCATTGGATTCTACTTAAGAGCGCTCAGAATTTGCAGCCCTTAGTATTTACACGAAGAGGGGAAATATATTGAAAACACTTCCAAGATCCGACTATACTCTATTTCATATTCAATGCGTAACAAAATGCTCATAAAATATTCCAAAATAGAAAAATGGCTCCATTCTGACAAAACCAACGAATAAAAAAAAACAATATTGTTCTACCAACTAATTCTATCACAACTACAATCGAAAAGAATTTATCTAAACTCGGCATAAATCTTGTCACAACTACATCTAAAATAATAAAAGACTTCTTAATACAAAACAAAACAACGAACGAAAACTTAAAGCAGGAATTTACTGTATCACCGGCAGCGATTGCCAGAAAGAATATATTGGAGAAACCTCAAGAAAAAAACTTTGTCATATATCTTTTCTCCAAAACTGTTCTTGATATTTATATATCGTTATCTCCCACCCAACCAACCAACACACACACACACACATATATATATATGTTTGTGTGTGTGTGTGTGTGACTAGACAAAAGGAAAATTTTGATTTTCTCATATTGTTCTTTTACATAAATACTCTATATCTATATAATCTATCTATCTATCTATGTAATATATATATATATATATATATATATATATATATATATATATATATATATATATATTAAATAAACACAGACCACTTTAAGGTTCCATGTAATAAATTATTTCACCACAGCCCTTTTAAAAGGACTGCGGATCATCAGACTTTACTTCCAAACAAAAATGAAAAGAAAATTTACACATTTTTGACGGGCCGTATTAAACATATGTAAATTAACGAAGTAAGGAGGGGAGAGAGAGAAGACATGAGTGAGTTTTTTATTTAAATTATTTGCTCTGGATTTACATTGAGCTCTCTGGATTTTATCCTCCTTAGGTTTACCCATACGGATTACCTAGTTTTCCATAAATTACATATATATATATATATATATATATATATATATATATATATATATATATATATGCAAGTTTCATTGAATATGACAGACAAAGTGCTTGGATTTAGTTTTTTTTTATACAATTTCTCATGTGATCTTATAATTTTTTTTTTTCTTTTCGGGCGATAAATTATGTAAAAACTGTCCAATTGTGCTTTTTATCCGAGCGCTTTCGGCTATACATTTAGCCATTTTCAAAGTTGAAATATATTAACTGTTAACAAGAAATAGATTGTTGTATGTATGTATGTATTGATATAATGTTTTCATTTTCAAAACACGGTCAAGATATTGTGACCATGTTCATAGTTGATATTATTACATAAAACAAATAAAAAAAAAAAAAGAAAGAAAAAAAAGGAAAATTTCTTGTTTATCTCCTTTTTACTTTTATTTATTTTTACAGGCATTATTTTGGCGCATGCCTTCTTCCCTGGCGAGAACAAAGGTGGAGATACCCATTTCGACGACGATGAACATTGGACTGTAGACTCCGATGAAGGTAAAACATTTTTTTCATTATCCTTTATATATATATATATATATATATATATATAAAACGAAAATAACTCAAAAGAATATACTACAGGGTGTTTCAAAAGTGACATTACCATTAATAACCTTATAAATTTTATACTTATTCAACAAATGGAATCCTGTTTTGTTATGTGACAATATGTATTATTAAGAAATTTTCTTGGTCGAATTATGGAAGATCCTGTCATGCAATTTTTCTCTGGTTGCTATTTCACAAGTGTATGACTTTTGGAACACCCTGTACAATGCCACACGAAGAGAATAGTGTCTAAGAGATCACACCAATTGAAGAGACTGCCATCAAAAGATAATAGCGCGTAAGAAAATGGCTGCTGTGGTCATATATATAACTTACCTTATTTTCCGGCTTACAAGACGCTGCAGCTTGGAAGACACACCTTAAATTTCTAAAAAAAACACCATGCGTCCCTTACATACTGGCGCCATGTATTGTTTTCATTAATCACTCGTCTGATTTTATTTGTATGCCAATAATATACTAGTTAAGAGCGGAAAGGCTCCCGCCGCTGCTCGTAAACAGAGCAAGTTTAAACTTGTGGCTCGGCTCTAGGAAGGTCTTGGAAATACTTGTAACAGCTAATAAAAACGTCGTATACTTTTGTATCCGATTTTTTTTTTTATTAATAAAATGTTCCTGAGTTAGATATATATATATATATATATATATATATATATATATATATATATATATATATATATATATTTATATATATATTAATAGAAATCTTATAATTATAAGAAACTATTCTCGTCGGGGAAAACCTTCGGTGTCTTGATTTGCAAGTAATCAAACCAATACCAAAGGAAAAAAAAACATATAAAAAAAAAAATATATATATATATATCTCCGCTAGGTTTAACTATATATATATATATATATATATATATATATATATATATATATATATATATATATATATATATATATATATATATATATATATATAAGCAATCTTTAGATAGGAATATTAATTAATTTATATCTTATTTACTGTGACTGAGCGTTTGTATACTTTATTTCATATATATATATATATATATATATATATATATATATAAACTAAGGTCAAAGCCGAATAGCCACAGTTTCAGAGCTGATCCTGCTACCCATCATGCACCATATAAAAATAGCCGAAGCATCACCCACCACAAATGGCTTGAAGATTGCGTTCAAGTATGAAACAGACTGTCGCCACTCAGTGTTGACCTCAGTGTCCACTATCATATTTACATACGTCCTATCTTTGATAGTGACTACTATCATACATTAAAACTATATTTTATCATATACAATGGGATACATGAAAAAAAGTTGGATGTTAAATGTTTCCCTCTTTTTTTATGTGAGCATTATCATTAATAGAACATCTACAATCACCAAGATGGCAGCACTGGGTCGACATAGAGTATGATGCTAATTTTGTTCGGATTTATTTCCAGGTGTCAATCTGTTCATGGTTGCTGCACACGAATTCGGCCATGCTTTGGGTTTGTCCCATAGCAAAACCCCGGGGTCTCTTATGTATCCCTGGTATCAAGGCAAACAGTCCAAGGGTTATAAGTTACCTCAAGATGACGTCAAAGGAATTCAAAAACTCTATGGTAAGTACACTTTTTCCCCCTCCACTCTTTAATTATATTTTTGACCTTTCCCCTTTTATTGCTGGCATTTTGGCGGGGCCTAGAAAACGCCACCCCCGGCCTTCAAAAGTAAATGTTTATAGACTCAAATACAAACGTCTGTCTTCACTTATATATATATATAAGGGGCTCTCCCGTCGATTTCGATTCCTGTGGATCCGACCTCATTCAGTTATATTTATATCGTATGCGACTCTTCAGTCCCGCTAGTGATCTGCATACAAGCCCACGTGTTGTGTAACAGCGAGGATCTTGGAGCATAGCAACAGGAATATTTGCAGACGCTTTTAGCCTCTTAGCCGGTCAATACAACTGATTTTCTGGTACAAATATCTCCAGTTAATTCTATCCATGGCAAATAGCTCGAAGATAGTATGAAGCACATTGAGAGCTGAGAAGTTACTCTTTATACCTGAGCCACGGCCACCCAACATTCCTTTGTCTACTGTGAAGCTGGCTATACATGAGGAGCTTTCGTATCCTGTCGTCACTCATCGTTGCAACATGCTCGGCCCAGTGGAGTTGTGACTGCATTAAAAATGTCTAAAATCTACCAATAGTGTTTTTACCTCTTTTAAACAGAGGAATTACTAATAGCAGACCTAGATCGAGAAATTATATATTACTATTTCTTTGTTTGTATTGCCTCAGATCTCCTCATTTGTGAGGAAATTGTCCAGCGTGCACTGTCAGGAGGATTGATATTTCACCACTGTTCAGCATTCTTTGCTGCCATTATTATAAAATTACTGAAGAAAAACCAAAGACAATACTATATATATATATATATATATATATATATATATATATATATATATATATATATCCTTTCATCTTTTGGAAGTGCTATCTGATGATCCAGCGTCCTTTAAAAGGGCTCTGACGAAATAAATTATTATAATAGAACCTTAAAGTGGTCTGTTTTTCTTTAATATATATATATATATATATATATATATATATATATATGTCATCCACAGACAAACTGTTTCTCTGTATCACAACTCATCAGTGTGGCTAGACGTCTAGCTGGGATCGAAACCCGGCTGAATTGGGGTCAGTCGGAGAATCTGCCCCTGAGCTTTTAGCACGTGGCAGGGATGAAGGTGAATTTAAGTGTGTTTATTTTTAGATAAACATGCTAGTGACTCAGAACCTGATTCGTTTTATCGAAGAGTATTATATATATATATATATAATTATTATTTATAAAAAAATTATAACATATATAAGTATGTTTTTTTTATAAATAATAATTATATCTGCTCTACTTTGTATTGAGCACTCTTTTAAGAATAGTAATTGTTGGCTATTGGAATTCATTCCGTATATAACAATTATATACTTGGATATATATATATATATATATATATATATAT